GATTGGCTGTAGCACAGATACATGTTAAAGTGTGGATTTTCTTTGTCAGAATAACACTTCCATATTACCGCCTTCCATATTGTAGCTAGATTTCGTCTTCTTGCTATATGCGATTTTTCATTATTTCGATCGTCTGGAATACCTCATTTAAACTGGCTTTCTACTCTATCAGTGTCGTTTACCACACCCTGTTCACATATGGCTTCATTATCATTAAATAGTTATAAAAATCAATAGATTGTGCACACTTTTACACTAGCTCTTCTCTACCAGTTTCGGTTTTTTGTTGGTATCGCTTTTGTACTAATTTGTACATGGACACATACCTCTGTCGAAGAAAGACCAAAAGGTACTCCAGAACCTTTAAATTGATAATATGCAGTCTGGGTAACAACCTCCTTAACATATTTCCAATATAACTGTCAGGAGAACATGAACCAAAAGGGTTTTAATTGGTGATTAAACACCAATTAGAACTAATCTGTTGTAACTCTATCTACCATTACATACGAACAGAAAACAAGATGTATATAGTAAACTGGTAATCAGTTTATCAAAATACATTACACACAAAGCTGCAAAAGTCTGGAATATTCTCAATAACAGACTATTTGTGAAAAAATTCCCCAGACAGTTCGATTTTTTTTTTCAATTTTAATTCTGTGATTCTGAATCGATCCTGATCTATTCATATATTTACATAATCTAAACGGATACGGAATTAAAAATAATATCTCACTAAACGGACAAAATAATATAATAGTATATTTAACTAATTTATGTCACTGTGTATCGAAAATTATTACATTTAAATATAGAAAATTTATTGAATTATGAACAGCCGTAATTATAAAAAAATATATAATTTTATTTGATGCGATTGTTTTAAGAAAGTTGAACAATAGAGACAATTTATTAGATCAAGTAAATATTTGTGCAATAAAAATTACATTTATTATCAATTGTTTTTATTATTTTTATATTGTCTGCTGGTTGCTGAGGGGATAATATTTGGATAGTTCTAGGTCATGCAATGTTTGTTGTGCTGGGTCGTTTTTGTTACATTCCTTAATCTTAATTATCATCAATTTGATTGGCTTTTTAATGTTAAAAATTATTAAAAAGGTGAGTATTTAAAATAAAACCCTAATATTTTGTTTTTTAAAACATAAAAAAAATCCGGATATAGAAAATTGTAGTAGTTTGAAGTTGCGTTTTCATTTTTTGTTGCTCCCGTCTTTCACTCCGACTAGTCTTCATTTGAGCATAATTTTTCAAAATCGTAAGATGCCTCAACTCGGCAGATGTAGGTAGCGATCATAGTCTAGTATTAAGACAGTTTTACATTATGCTATTTTCATGCTAGGCAAGAGCCATGCAAGACAGATCATGGAACTGCGCATGGAACTTTTTCATGCTATTTTCTTGCAATTTATCGTTAAAATTCATGTTGCCAACATAACAATTTATAATAGATTACAGAATAAAACATAACCTTATCTCTACATTTATCGTCCCTTAGCCCACGTGTGTATTGTTGTGTTTTGATTTAAATTAAGTTTATTAAGTGGTGATAAATAGATACACTATGTCTAAAGTTAATGTAAAAACGACTGGGTGAGTCGTTGACTATGGATGATTGTTGCTACAACAGCAATATTCAACAATAACAATGTTTTCTTTTCTTTGGTTGACATCCTTCACCCTTTTAATAACCATAAATAGTGTATATTTATTTATTATATTATTTATTTTAGTACTTAATTATATTTATTTAAAATAAAATAACCTCAAATTAATAAATATTTTCTCTGTTGGCAACGATGAAAGTGGGATCTAAAATTGCACAGAAATATCTCTGATGTAAAAAGGTCAAGCTAGGCAAGAGATGTGCCATGCAAGACGGACTTGCATAGCATGAGACTTGCATAGCCTAGATGTAAAGCTGCCTTTATGTAAAATAAAAAAATCATCCTGCCCAAGAGAGCGGCGCCAAAACAAACTAAAATCAAAGTCGAAGGACTAAATACGGAATCCACGGAATACTTATACAGGAAAAGAATATCAGAGAAGATTGCTGATAATGAAATATTAGAAAACGATAACATCGAGGAAAGCTAGGAAAAAAATAACAAACGCAGCAATAGAATTACTTTGAGAGAGGAAAGTAACGAACACTAACGTATCAAAAAAGAAAACATCATGCTTCAGAGAGGAAATCAAGACAAAATGTGAAGAAAAGAAGAAAGCCTTTTTACAATACAGAACACAACAGGCATATACAACCACTATAAACGAATCAGAAATGAAACGAATACTTTAGTTACAAAAATAAAAAGGAAACACTGGCAGAGCTTCTCAATACAGATGGAACACGACTTCTACGGAAAACAAAAAGAAATATGGAGAATGATCAGAGGGCAAAGAAAAGAGACGAAAACGAACTAATAAAAACGAAACACATTCAGAAGGAAACATGGGTAGAGTACTTTCGATCCCTATTTGCTAAAGGTGACTATAATGAACCACCAACACCAGAAGTGATGACAAACGAAGAAATAAATATTGAAGAGGAAGAGGTAAAGGAAGCATTAAGGAAATCAAACAACAGAAAATCACCAGGAGAGGACAGAATGCCGAACGAACTCCTAAAGTACGGAGGACCAGATCTGACCAAACAACTACTAAAACTGATCCAAAATATATTAGAACCAAACAGAATTCCTCAAGAATGGAGATCAAGCATCCTAATACCTCTATTCAAAAAGGGAGACAAATCGGACCTGGAAAATTACAGAGGAATTAATTTATTAAACACAACACTAAAATTAACAACCAAAGTGATAACAAATAAACTGAATAAAATTATAACCTAGCAGAAGAACAACAAGATTTTTAGGTCGGGAAGATCATGCACAGATGCTATATTTATAATGAGGCAAGTGCAATCATTAGAATGCAACAAACGGGCATATCTTTGTTTCGTGGACCTCCACAAATAATCAAAATGATCGAAAATATCTACCAAAACAACACAATAAAAGTAGAACTAACCGACGCTATTGAAGCTGGCAATGGGATAAGACAGGGAGATTCCCTGAGTCCTCTATTGTTCAACCTAATTATGGATGAAATAATAAAAAAAAGTAAGAATTAAAAAATAATACCAAATGGGAGAAAAACAACTTAAAATAATCTGCTATGCAGACGATACCTCTATTGTAATCAAACAGCAAAAGTGAAAGTTGAAAACGAACTGAACAAGGATATCCAGATTCGCCGTGGGGTCCGCCCAGGGTGTATTTTATCACCCTTGTTATTCAATTTATACAGTGAAGGCCTTATAATAAACGGTGAGCCACTTAATAACATAAGATATGCTGACGACACCGTCCTTCTGGCAGGAACACTAGAAGAACTGCAACACCTTGCTGAACAACTAAATATATATTGCAACGATTATGGACTAAGAATCAATTTGAAGAAAACCAAGTTCATGGTATTTACAAAAGCACAAAACATCAAAGTTAAGCTAGTACTAGATAATACAGAAATTGAACAAATATCTTCGTACAAATACCTTGGAGCATGGATCACAGAAGATACTGATCAGACAAAAGAAATAAGATGCCGCATTGAAATTGCGCGGTCAACTTTTAATAGAATGAGAAAACTTTTTTGTAATCTCGATATCAATATATCGCTCCGGATAAGAATGCTTCGATGTTATATTTTCTCTACCCTTTTGTATGGAGTTGAAGCTTGGACACTTAAACAATCCAACATTAAAATCCTAGAAGCATTCGAAATGTGGTGTTACCGACGCATTTTGAAAATATCATGGATGGATCGCAAAACAAACGAACAAGTTCTCGAACAACTAGGAAAACATTGCGAAGTTTTAAATTCCATAAAGATCAGGAAATTGGAATACTTGGGGCACATCATGAGAGGTGAAAATTACGAACTACTAAGGAATATAATGCAGGGTAAAATCAAAAAAGGTAGAAGAAGCGTAGGAAGACGTAAAATCTCGTGGCTACGCAATCTCCGTGAGTGGTTTGCTACGCAATCTCCGTGAGTGGTTTGGATGCAGTTCAATTGAACTATTCAGGCGAGTAACCAATAAAATTATAATTGCCAGAATGATTTCCAATCTCCGATAGGAGTGGGACTTGAAGAAGAAGAAGCAGACGATACAATACTACTCTCTAAAAGTGAAGATGATTTACAACTTTTGCTGCACCAATTTAATATAACCGCCAGACAATTTAACATGTTAATTCCCCCAAAAAAGACAAAATGCATGGTTATAACAGCAAATTTACTAAGATGTAAATTGGAGCTGGAAGGTCAGATAATAGAACAAGTGACGGATTTTAAATATCTAGGCATCACAATATCTAGCTACGGAAAGCTCGAAACTGAAGTGGAAGATCAAGCGAATAGAGCAAACAGAGCCGCAGGCTGTCTGAATGAAACAATATGGAGAAATAAAAATATCGGGAAAGAAATGAAAGGCAGAATTTACCAGTCATTAGACCAATAATACGCGGTAGAAACAAGATCTGACACAGAGACAAAAAGGATGTTAGAAACAGCAAAGATGAAAACATTTAGAAAAATTGATGGTAAGACACTATGGGACAGAGCTAGGAAGTATAAATATACGACGTAGATGCAAGGTGGAGAACATCGAGAACTGGGAGAGAAATAGAAGAGTAGAATGGAACGATCATATACGCTGAATGACAACAAATAAAGTAGTAAAGAGGCAAGAAACGGTTCCCCAATATGAAGACCACGAAAACGATGGAACGACAACTTGCTGGAGGCACATTAAAAAACAGAAAGCCATGTCTATGTAAAACGAAGAAGAATATTTGCAGAGCTTAAATATTTTTGCACATTTATGCCATTCAATTGAAGGCTTACCTTCTCTCTTCCAAAAATAAATCCAGGCTGTTCTTTACAGGTTTTAATGAGTAAAATAAACAAGATTTTAATGGTAATGAAATCGTTTATTTGCCTTTGTTACAGTGTATATAAATTATCTCGTACAACGCTAAATGAAATTTAAATCGCAGTTTATATAATTCAAAAAGCTCTAGCGCCATTATTAGTATCAATACTCTCTTTAATATTTAAGTTTTGACTATTTCGGTTAGCTTCGGCTCTTCTTTTCGCATTTTGTGCATCACTTCTGGCCCTTCCGCGAAGAACTACATTGATTGGTCGAGGTTTACTGCAGGTGGCGGCTTCTTTTGGTAGATCTTGACCCCGATTTTCCTTTTGTTTGTATATGGACTTGATGTTAGGTGTGCACGTTGTTTTTTGATCTCCTATTTTCCTTTCTGCGGATGCTATTACTAATTCTTGGACAAATCTGCTCCGCTCTCTTCTAATTTGATCAGAGGCACACTGCAGTGAAAGCTCTTCTAATAAACCTAGAGTGAAAACACAGAACATATTTAAAAGCAGTAATTACACTAAACCAATACTACTTAACTAACAAGGAATATATACATACATACATACACACACAAATATATTCGGCCGCCATTGTCGATACATTGAGCTTTAAAAAAACTGATATACTTTTTGTTGTAACTGCTTTACATTAAGTAGTTTGTGTTATCATTCCTTAAGAGGATACAGCTACATATTTCGATAGACGGGGTGATATGACGTGCTGAGAACAGGATTTGGCGGTTGAATTTGAGGGATAGAAATTTGGGTGTTGGGTTTTTGACGAGTGACTTGGGTGTAGCTTTAGGCGTCGTTTCTATCGTCAAAGATTCCCTGTGTTTTAATTTCTATAGTTCCTCTTATTGTTATTGTCTTATAACGTGGCATGGCTGCTATGTGTTTGCAAGAACTGAGGTATATGCTATCTTCGTGTGTGAATCGGACTGACGGATTTGCTTATTCCTTCGACCTAGTTTGTGTTCGTTCAGTCTGACAGAAATTCCTCCTTTGGTTTATCCTATATATCACACATACACAAATCATGAGACAGAAAATAAATCCTAGCTCTTGCAAACATAACTAACACATTAAATATACACACACTTGTGGAATAAAATTGTTTGTCCCTATTTTAAAATATCAAAACGCTGAGACCCGACAACTTTTAAATTTAAATGTGCACTTTTGAAGTGACTACTTGTTATCGCTCCATATGATGTTTTTCATGGGCCCGAAATACTATTTAACGTGACTCGAAAAATCGAGACGGGTGTAGTAACCTTACCGTATACCGTAATATACATAATTTACATACACTTATAATTTTATGTAATATATTTTTTTATAACACGAGAATGACTAGATCTATTTTGGTAATTTTTATTTTAAAATATTTGTATGAAATAAAATAAATAATATTAAATCAAATTCTCTAAACTTTAATAATAATATAAAAAAATTATAAAAAATCATGAAAAATTATAAAAATTAAATAAAATGAAATAATTAATACAATTATAGAAACCTAAATAAAATTATACAAAAGAAAAAAAGTATATTATGAAACACCCTGTATATTTTTGTGTTTTTAAAAAACTCCTTAACAACCGGGTCTTAACAAACTATAATGGGTGAATATGTAGGGTCTATAATGGGTGAAATTTTGAGAATTAACAATCACGCTTTAAATAATAGAATTAATTTTAATTTACCCAAATACAGACATCAATTTTCCAAACTGAGTATCAATCTATTGAGTTTTGTTTTTAATTTCTCGATCAAAACTATAAAGACTTTCAAAATTTCACCTTGTATTATTTATTCATAATAAACCCTACATATTCTAGTTCGTTGAGATCAGATTGTTAAGGAGCTTTTAAAAACAGAAAAATATACAGGGTGTTTTAATAAACATAAATATGATGGACTATGCTAAACTGGCGGGAATCATCCCGTACATTCAAATTTATATTTAAAAAAAGCACATTTGAATTTAAAAGTTGACTGGTCCCAGCGTTTTTTGAAATTTTCTAAAATAAGGACACAAACAATTTTATTCCATAAGTGTTTTCTACGCTGTATAGTTTCAAATCTTCACCCTGTATTATTCACAATAGACCCTTCATGTTATATTTCGTTGATATCGGGATGTTAAGAAGATTTTAAAAATATACAGGATGTTTCATTAAAAATGAAGATTATGGACTATGCTAGATTTGCCTGAATCATCTATTACGTTTAAATTTATGTTTAAAAAGCGTACATCTATATTTAAAAGTTGACGGTCTCGGCGTTTAAAGATTTACGATATACTAGATACAGTTTTTCAAAGTTCGCCACTCACACCATTTTTTGGCCATTTTCCCTATTTTTTCGCAAATATTGTTCTATAACTTTTATCTATGCAGTTTTAGGTAAATGCAGTGAAAGATTTAACGAAAGAAAAATGAACTACCTTTAAAAAAATCTATATCTAAGTTCTATGAATAATTTTGAGCAAGAAACGGTTCTTCAAAGTTTTCTAATTTTAACGATTTTTGGAACAAGTTTTACGGCTATTTTTGAAATATCTCATTATATTTATTTTCTTGTGCATTTAAGTATATGCATTACCAAATAAAAAAGAAAGCTTATTTTCTGTACTTTAAAATAGTCTATCAAAAGAATTATTCTATATAAAAAAGATTCTAGAATTAACGATAACCAAAATATAGTTCGTCATATTGTGATGCTTGCAACGATTTGTATATATCAAAATGTACACGAAAAGAATAGTCCAGTCGTAGTCGTCAGAGACGAAAATGCTATTAAACCTGTAAAAACCATACGAACAAGCTTAATTTTGCTGATAATGTTACTTTTGAGATCCCAAACAAAATGCAAAAAAGTTTGCCACTCGTACCCCTGGGCTTTCACTAAAAGCGCCACACCTAGGGGGAGGGGAAACGAAAAAAATTTGCCAAGAATCTGTACGCCGTAGAAAGGATTTTTCAAGCCAGAAATGTTGCTGAGATAATGATGGTTTGGGATAATGGATGGATAAAAAAGATAGTTATTAGCACTTCTTCTGTAGAATAAACAGTTCTCTCAGTAGAACCTGTACAAACAACGGTTGAAGCAACCGACGATTTTAAATGTGTTACGCGTGCGAAATCAATTTTTTAAATAAAATTTGTATCAACTAGACGGCAAAAAGTCGATAGCTTTTGATTATAGTGCATAAAAATGGCACAAAAATTATGAAAAATTGTGGCAAACTTTGAAAAATCGTATCTTGGATACTGTGAATTCTAAAACTTCTACTAAATATCATTTTGAAAAGAAAGGGTAAAAGTTTTTTCTTCTATAAAGCAATGCCTACACCTATACCCCTATGATAAAAGATATGGGACAAAAAAGTTCTCAAAAATTATTTTTAACTTTAGAAGGTGACATTTGGATAGGAAATTTAATTTTAATCAACTTTTCTGTAGATTTTGATGTACTAAAACTGTATCCAAATGCACCACCCTCGTGCATAAGGACAAATCCACCCCTTTCTAAAAAAACACACCCCTTTAAATGGTAGCACTCCGCGGTTTTTCCATATTTGGGGGTCCATTGACCATGTGAAACAATAAAACCCGTTTAACATTGTAGATTGTAGTTCCTTTTTAAAGTACATAATCAATAGTCAGATTAATTTTTCTGCGGTTGTTCATTCTATAAATATTTCCAATGTTTGAAGTTTTATTGCAAGTATAATGTCTGTCTCGTCGGCGAAATATATTTTAGTATATGTCAAATACCGTTACGTTTACATCTAGAATAAAGGCCTGTATAATTTGATTTCCAGTCGCAAACCCAGGGTCTGTATTTTAAATAAATTGACGCTGTTCTCCAATTTTTCTGGGGGTAAACTTAGCCACTGCCATTTCTATCGTCAAAGTACAAAATTGACAAAAAAATCATGACATTCATATTAAGAGAACAAAGGTGTCTTTAGTGAAGTCGATAGTAGCTGCCAAGAATAATGTCACATACCTGGGAATTCACTAAATTAAAAAAAAAACACTAAAGTTAATCACAGTTTATAAAAAAATAAAACATAAATACATACATATATATATATATATATATATATATATATATATATATATATATATATAAATTAAATGACGAAATATATGGCGTAGGAAGACAAAGTCGTTAAACTTCCCGTGCTTGAATCGGTATCAATAAAGTGTTATGAATCATTTCGGCCTATCTCAGCCCCATCAGACATTTGGGCTGATACAAATTCAAACTCGGAAAGTCCAACGAATGTCTCCCAAAACTTCAGTACAACAGTAGTTAGCTCACAAAGGCGCCACCTGCTTTGGCGGCCGTGAACGAGAACGATATGATAATATTGTTTTCTGTGTCCTCTGGATCATGATGGCATCTACACCCCTAGCTGAGAGATTGTCGCCCTTTTTGGGCTTTTCAGATTCATTTGTCGCGGGGAATCAGTCCGCATTAACATTTTGGTTTAATAATTGGTTGTGTGGCGTGGCGTCTTCTAATAATAATATTTCTCCATTATTTTCTGTTTTTGCTTATGGTTTTCCTATCTCTAACATTTTTCTGAGGGTTTAACCATTAGCCATTTACCGTCAAAGTACAAAATCGACAAAGGAGTAATGAGATTCATATTATGAGAACAAAGGTCTCTTTATACACCTTTACACAGACACAGACAGTCACTAAATTGAAAAAAAAAACTAAAGATAGGCACAGTTTATAGCAAAAACATACACATATATACATAGACATATACATATATATATATATATATATATATATATATATATATAAAAAATATATATATATATAAATATATATATATATAAATATAAATATATATATATATATATATATATATACATCCTACTATCATTTTGGCATCGATACATTATGCTTTTACCATCAATTTAGCATCGTCTTGCAAAGCAGCATCTGTATATCGACGCTACTTTACAAGACCTTAATAACTTTTTTCCTGTACTTGTTACAAGAATTTTAACCATCTCAATGATTAGAGATTTGATACCGTGTTGGTATTTTAAAATGTCCGCTTTCTCTTTTGATCCCTTACTGAGTTATATAAGTTTATTCCAGGAAATGTTTGAGTCTAAAATGATGGTACAGTGAAAATATTATATATATTTAGTTCAGGGTTTTACCGTTTACTCGCTGCCATTATATACATGAAAATGTATATCGCACTTTCATTATCAATCATTTTGGCATCAGAAATTTGGCATCGCTGTTGAATATAATATTACCCACAACGAAATAGTAAATTTAAGAATTTATATATATTTTTTTCATTCATAAATCATTCTAGCATCTTGTTTGATTAAAAATAACGGGTTACATATTGGGTATATATAATGGGGTATATATTGCATATTTTTGCTCCAATTGGTCCAGTCGTAATGTACAGCACCTCAAATGA